GGAACTTGCTATGTAGACCAGGCTGGCCTTGAAATCACAGAGATCCACTTGCCTCTGCCTCCCAAGTGCTGGGACTAAAGGCATGCACCACCATGCCCAGCTTCATTGAAGATTTTAAAAATGTACTCAATTAGCTAAAGTCAATACTGTAAGTCTTATGCTCTGAAAATTCAAAATTAGTATTTCATCAATTTCTTATGATAATGAGGATTCTAAGCTTTAAAATCTTCATTTTGAGTATTAACCCGGACAACAGATGACATCATTCAATCTTTAAAAATGGTCTTGGGGAAAACACAGAGCTTCATTTGAATGTGCAAATTTGGTATAGTTTGAAGATATTGAATTCATCAGTGAAGTATTATATTGGAGATTTTCACAACCACATGGGTTGGGAACAAATGATCAGTTCATCAACTATCTTTCCACGCTAGCATATCTGCTTCCCAGTGTCTGTCTTGTTCTTTTCTCTATCTCATTTTGTTCCTTTAGTCACTATAACTGATCACATTGTAAGGTATTCTGTGCTATCATAGTTTGTAGGCTCTTCTGTGATGGTTAACACCACTAGCAACTCTTATCTTGAAGTCACATTTGTCTAATAAGCATAAAATGTAATATCACATGGAAATCATTATGATTTTATTTATATAAACAGGTAGTTATAATTCCAGAAGCAAACCGTCAGAATTTGTTTAATTCTACCTCTCTACTCTGTTTTTGTTCTTTAAACTCATTTCCCTATTCATTATTGATTCCCTCCCACAGATCAGATAGACTGCTCAGTACAAGGAAAACTAAGCTATATCACAGAACCCCCTACCAACCAAGAGCTCAGCACTTTATGTCTCCCTGCATCTTGCAAGAACTCATTGTGGTAACTGTATATGGAAGAGTGCACATAAGGAAAGAAGGGTCCATTTTCTCCTCTCTGGTCGAAAGTTGAAGGCTCTGGCTTTGGGGTGACCTGATCTCAAGTCATAGTTCCATCGTTTACTGGTTGTGCACCTTTACCAACTCTGCTGAATGAAAGTGTGTTTCCATTTCTGAAAACAGGGTGGTGTTTTTTAATAACACAATAATGGTATTTCTCTCTCTCTCTCTCTATATATATATATATATTCTGTTTAGTAACTGTTACATATTAAAACTTTTATTATCATTACTTCACAATAAATTTAAAAGAAGTATCTTAAGATTTGGAAGTTTGGTTTCAAGTCAGAGGGAATATATTTAACAACAATTCCATGATTAATATATTAAACAAATATTCTGTACTTAATAAATATGAAACTATTGCTATTGGGAAAACATGTTAGAGAAAATTCAAATGTTTAGATATTTAGATATTCTGTCACAATTATATGCAAGGGGATTAAGAGGAAGATGTCCAGGTTTCAAAGTTTTCAACTTTTGCAACTGGATAAACTCTGGAGGCTTTTGAAATTGTCGGAGTAAGAACATTTAGATAGATTTGAGTCTAATGTGAGTGCCTAGCTTAGTCTATCTTTTTTGTCTTATAAACTACTACAGGGTATAGTAATGTGCTATCAGACAGCTTGTGGTGAGAAATGGAGGAAAATTTACAGATTCAGCAGGAGCAGGAGACTAAAAAGGGAGTGACTGTAAGACTGGCACAGAGAAATGTGTGATGTGTAGTTGAATATTTTGTTCAGATATTCTGAGTTAAAGATGTGAACATGCTAGTGGGTCTTTACTGGTGCCCAGACTAGCACAGACATATTATTAGTTAAATTAATATAAGGGAAAAAAGACCTATATTCTTGGAAATACCACTTAAACAATAGTTGGGACAACTGTCCAAAATTGGGAAGTAAAGTGGTTTGGTCATTTAACAAGTCAAGAGAGAAGAGAATTTCAAGGCAGAGGAATTGGCACAGAATAGCTAAGGATGCAGAAAATAGTTTATCATTAGCTCCGACATGGTCAAGACAGGAAATGACCTCAGAAAGACCTAACTTTCTGTCCTTGTTGGTTCCTAACACTAACTGCCTTTATTTAGAGCAGTTTCAAATATCTTGCTGTTCATTCAAATCACATGTGGAACATTTGAAAATAGCGTACTGAATCCTTCTTAATATGAATAAAACTAAAACTCCTGATATAAGGCAGTAGGACACTAGTTAGCTTGAGTCAGATATAAGATAGCTGAGCATGGACCTTCTTAGCTTGCTGTATCTGGCTTCTTGGCCTTTATGTGAATTACTCCTATAAGCCCGAATCTCACAATTTCACAGTAGAACAATAGGAATATACAATTAGTTACTACATAACTGCTTTTAGCATAACACCAAGTATATTGTAACTGTTCATTGTATTTTGAACTATATTTTTTTTTTCTGAAATATGTGACTCTCTGTGATCAGAGAATGTACGCACTGGGGTGATCTGAGTTAGCTCCCTCTAGGGAGCTGCGATGATTTACAGCTTGCCTGCTTTGAGGGTTCTTCTTTAAGTTCTAATAAAATTGTCTTTAAGCTTCCCTTTGAGTTCATTCTTACATTCTTTTATGAATGAGACTAAGAACTCTTAAGGGTGTGAAAGAAAATTCCCAGAAAGAACTCCTTTATCCTGAGTTGAATTTCCTGCAAGGCTGACCAACTGATAAACATAAATGACTGTGGAGAGTTTGGAATGTTGCAGACCCATAGCCTTTTCACAAATTATCTGGGGACATCTTTAACCCCATAAATAGCCATCTTGCCTACCTCTGTTTCTGAATTAACATTCTTGTGAGTAATAAAATGTATTAACTCAGCAGACCACCAATCAAAAGGCTAAGAATGTCATCAGATAGCATCTGAAACCTATAATAGAAACAGCCCTTCTCTCCCTGCTTTGCTATGACCTGAAAACTGAATGTATCCGATACCAACGCATTTGAAAAGTGTCTTCATTTGTGGCTTTTCTTTGTTTTGTTACTATAAAACCATAATGTAACTGTTACTACACTGGGACATGTAATTTAGGGTAACCTGAATCTCTGTTCCTGGGCCATCGTCACTCATATTTGGCTCCAGAATAAACTCTTATTCCCTTTTAGGTGAGAGTTATACTTTTGTGTCACAAGGGAGACCCCATTTTCCTCTGTATCATAAAGTATCTGAACTTGATAATCACAATTTTGTCTTAGTAAATAAAGTCTTTTAAATATCTCTGATACTTCAACTTTGCCTATATGAAAGGATGAATTTTGATTTATGAGAACAATTAAACAGGTAACGCTAAATGAATTACATAGACATATTTTTTCTATATGCACTGAAATTTTAGACCTAGAATTAAATTGCTAAGATTAATTGTGTGTGTGTGTGTGTGTGTGTGTGTGTGTGTGTGTGTGTGTATGTACATGAGTGCAGGTGCCTGCAGAGGACAATAATGAAGAAACAGGTGACATATTCAGCATGGCCACATTGGGAAGAGGGACTCCAATCCAGATATTCTTCCCAAGTTGATTTTCAGGGTCATACCTGAGGGTTAGGTTTAAAAAGAAGGTGAATTTTCTTAATATTGGCCCACTGCTAGTTTTTGCCATGATAAAGCAAAATTAAGCTTTTTTACAGAGTTTGAAAACAAACATATCTTGTTGTTAATTTTGACAGTTTAAAAAGATTTATTTAAGCAAGAGTGAAGAGTTTAATACTGGAGAACATGATTTATTTTAGTCTTTGCTGAAAATATTTTTCTATCATATCTTGTCTTCATTTAGATAATTTCTATTCTGTTTTCCTTAAAGTATTATGTATGATTTACCATATGCTTATAAATAACTTTATAATGAAATAAAATATAAATAAATCAAAATCTACAAAAGTACTGAAACAGAACCAGTGAAAATAGACCATAACTCTAAGAAAGGAGAATAAAAGAAAATTGCAATGAACCAGTCTGAGTTTTTAAAGACCTGGCACACTGACAACTGATCACAGAAGATGCTGGAGAGATTTTATGCCTCTGCTTTTTTCGATATTTGTCAGCTCATATAAAAATTCTGTTTGTTATTGCAGCTCTAAGAGCAATTTCCTAAAGAAACAAATCTTCAACTTAAATTTCAATCATATTTGGAAGCTTCGTGTCATTTCTTCATTTTGTAAAATTCAGAACATAACAGATAAAGCTAGGATGCCATCTGAAACCGTGCTTACCATGTTTACCCTTATCAGATAGGGACTCAGTCACTCTGTCAGTTTATTACATTGCTATCTACCTCTTGTGTGCACAAAAAACAGGAGATACTTATATGTTTCTAACCCAATGGTTCAAGTTAATGTGCACATGTTGAGTTATATAATATTTTTCCTAATAATTATATGCTATGGAGACATCTATTAAAAACCTAAAGTGACCGTTTAAGTACAAAATTTCTAATAGAATGCCATTATATTTTTCATACTAAATTAACACTGCATGCTTCTAATGGATGCTTTAATTAGGCATTGAGGTTATCAGTAATATTTGGCAAAATAAAATCTGTCACTGTGAAATATTATGTTAAATTTCTGTCAGTTAATATTAAATATTTTCTGAATCTTATGATTTAAGTAAGAAGCTAAAAGCCAAGACAGAAATTAAAAATCTCCAGACAAACCTTTATATGTGTTGTATAAAAATATAAGATCATTAGGGACGTTTTATATTTTATAGTTGCCAAACAACCAGCTTCCTTTAAGCCATTTATATGCACATACCCTCCTTAAGACTGTTGTCTTAATACTCCATAGAATTGAAAACAAAAGGCCTATCCTAATTGAAGTATACATCATTCACAAAGCAACCCAAAGGAAATATGTATGTGCACATATTTGTATGCACCATTAGAGGCTGAACCTCAGAATGGAGCAAGAGGAGCCAATTGGAAAAGGTGAGGAGATGAACTGAGATGCTGAGACAGAGAGACTACCACACAAAAGGCAAGGGCAGCTATGAGGTAAACAACAAAGGCCAAGGCAGGCAAGCAGGGAAGAAAGCTGGATGCTTACCAGTAATTTTCCCATTGGCTTCCAAGGGAGGCTGCCAGCTCACAATGACTGCGCGAGGCTTCCCTTCCCGAGTAATGACTGTCAGATCCTTGGGAGCAGAGGTTGGGGCTGTGAGATGAGACAGAGACAAGGTCTTGTCATTAGTTGTGAAAGGAAACAGGCGCTGGTGGGACTTACAGTCATGATGCTGACACTCAGGCTCAATCATCAAGTGTATCATGTTTATTTTTCCATTCACATTTATTTCAAGAACTTAAATTACATAAGCAAAGATATAGAAATTAACGGTTTTCATTAATGGATGGTTTTCATCATAGAAGTTCAATGACTTCTAATGATGTGAGTAAGGAGAGAAAACGTGGATGTAAAAAATATGGTAGGTAGTTTCAAGCGAGCTCACACTGATATTTGTACATATGGAAATGCAAACTTAGTAATTTGACGACTTCATGTCTTTCATTAGGGATTTTGTTACAACTATAGTTTAAAATTGAATTAACAAAAGCAAAAAAAAAATCCTCATTCTATACTTCTTTTTAAGAAGAAAGAGCAGCAAAAATTCTAGTTTAAAATTGTAGCTTAAGTGAGACATAAGGCATTTAATAAATGAGACTGGAAATGCAGAAACAAATAGAAGAGGCAAGGAATCTGTGATTGTCTTTGCACCAGTCTGGAATGAAATAAGAAATCCTACCTACCCTCCTTGGATATGTTTGTTCTTTATATTGTGAATAAGAAATTTTAAATATATTCTAAAGATGAAACCAAATGGTCTCTGCCAGTCCAGTATCTGCCAGATCTCTTCTGGTCCATTTCTCACCCTTCGAAAGACAGTTTTCCTTCTAGGTTCCAAATGCATTATCTACAGTCTCTTTATTGCCATTGGTTTGGCAAGGCAGATTCAGAGTGTATCTGTGCTCTGTGTTTGGGTTCTGTAAGAATATTTTGTCTCCAAATAGAACTTCAGTGTATTATAAGACAAACAGAGCTTGATCTCTAAGCTTGAAGCCATCTTCACTCTATTACCTTGCTTCTTCCAAATGTCATGTAGTACAAGTTCCGGCTTCAGCCTCTTTCTGGTATCTCTTCCTGTGTAGTTAAACTTTTGAACCAAAGAAAAATGATGCCAATCATTTCTGTCTATCATATCAATATCTTTCCAATTCCTGGATCCTTAAAGGCCATTGGGATTCCAGGTAAATCACAATTTCAGTAGTTTTGATATGTTGAAAATGCACTAAACGTACTTAACCTTTCAAAGAAAAATAAAGAAAGCAGTGAACCTAAAGAAGTGGAAGAGGAGGATATGAAGAAGGAGAGGAGGCTAGGATGGAGAGAAGAAAACATCAGGGGCATTACTGTAAGAGAAGCACATTTTTACAGCCAAATACCAGAGAGATAATGCTCTTAAAGAAGGATTATTCTCTTAGGGAGTTCATTCAATATATTTTATAGGCCATGAATAGGAAATTTAGATATAGTCAGAAATTTATTTATATTATATAAAACATAAAAATAATATTTTAAATTATGAAAGAAATGAAAAGATCTGACGCGCTAAATAAAAAATCAGTGTTGTTTCTTTTAATAAATGTATCTTTGGTTTTAAATTCAAATTGTTGTTTATTTAGGAAATATACCATGAACTTTTGCAATCAAAATAACACACTAAAGAGGTGGTGCTGAAAAAACAAGCAGTCTACTAACTAACCTATTTCAAATGCCATGCCTGTCTTTACCCTTAAGTTGTATGGATGTTGATTAGAAATGGTGTCAATGGAATTAGTAACTCAAACATTTGGGAGTGCCATATAAACTCTATATGGGTCCCTAAATATCTGGGAAGGAATATGGGCTTAATGACTCTCATGATATAAGGGAAGTCATGCAGTACACCTCTGGTCTCCTCTAGAAAGTTACCTGAGGCTGAGGGTAGAAGTACTGTTGGAAAAGAGGCTCATATTGATCAAATATACAACGATATATCTAGACCAGAGAAGTTTTGTGCACTACTATCACAGTTATATTATTATAACATTATATATTTCAAATTATAATATTTGTGTAAAAAATGTTGACATAATACATTTGTAACAGTCAGTCACAAAGGTGATGATTTAATAATTTGGTGCACACACACACATATATATTTATATGCAGCTGATCAAATTCTTCTACAATGTATAGACACATCAAAATATCACAATGTGTCCCATATGCACATCCAAATTATTTGTCAAACAAAACAAAAGTGAATGTATATTAAAAAGAAATCCTTCATTGATTTCTCATGCTCTGCAGATTAACTATAAATAAGAAATAAATTCTAGGACTTCTAGGTTTTATACTTTATTTGATCAACTTGTTTCCCTGCTGCCCATGAATACTGCGTTCCAGTGACTTCGTGCTATCCCTGAGTGTCCCCGGAACACACCTTTCTGACACCAGTTAATACTCTTCCCTTATTTTGGGTGTCTCTGCAATGGGTACCAGATGACCCACTCACAATGTAGTTAAGTATTCCTTTCTTTATGAAGTATACATTTAAGAAGAAATTATATTATATAATGTATTA